TTATCTCTATTTGAATCAGATATTCAACACAGAAGAGAAGTTGTAAAAGAAGAATTAACAGAAGATGATTTAGAGAAATTGGTTGATATTACATTAAGTGAAAGTGACACCATATGGTTGCTTGACATGCCTGCTACTTGTGTGTCTACAGAAAGTGATGAAGCAGCATATGTCAAAGAAAAAATTGCAAAATATAATGAGGTAATCGTTTTTTAATTAAAATTTATAACATATGTAATTTTTATTGGAAGTAATAATTTTTTGACAATTTTACATGTGAACCATAAACAATTCTTTCACTGTTATTGGTTTTATTTACTTACAGTTAGTTAAAAGTAGAGTTGGAAACGATCGATATGCAGAGCGTGGAATGCAAACATTTAATGAAGCTCCAAAGCAAAAAGAAGTGCAGACAACTAGAATAACACATGCTGTAAGTACCATCCTCAATGAAATCTGGTCTATGATGCTGGGTCGGGCAACTTCATGCGACATTGTTACCATAGTTTTCAATAAAATGTTCCCGTTGACATGTTTGTCATTTCTGTTGCCTGGTATTTTTTTTTGCAATTTTATTCTGAACCTTTTCTGTGTATTTAATGAATGATAAAGCTACTATATAAGGTTATATTAGGGTATATAGCTTTCAGATGTTTGGTGCTGGGTAGGGCAACTTCATGCAGCATTGTTAGTTTTCAAATAAAGTGTTCCCATTGACAAGTTTGTGATTTCTGTTGTCTGGTATTTTTTTTGCAATTTTATGCTGAGCCTTTTCTGTGTAATTCATGAATGATAAAGCTACTTAACTATATAAGGTTAGATTTGGTTAAATAGCTTTCAGATGGTTGAAGGTTCTATCGATATCAATGACAATATTTTCCTGTGATCATATCTCTGGTTGCCTTATTGACTTCCTCTTTATGATGAAATTCGTTAGGATGCAGGATGCATGGCAACTAACTGGGATATGTATGATACATATGCAGAGATGAATCCAGCTGTTCCAACAGGTATCTCATCTCTCAATACGTTTTTACAGTATCATTATTAACACATCACCTGCTGAAAGCCTTTACAGATAGCCAAAATAAATGTGAAAAAAACGGTGTCAACAGGCAATGCCTTAAGCCACATATCAGTGTATTCTCCAATCAATTCGCAAAAAAAATCATATTATAAAAAAAGATATAAATCGAAAAACGATATTAACCACAATCCAGAACTGGGTAGTTTCTATCTTTTTTATTTTCTCAGAGGAACATTGCTAGCGTATATAATAGATGACAATGTATATAACTATTTTTTTCATATTTCAGAAGAAGAAGAAGATGACGATATTCCTCTCAGTAGACCAACAAGTGGTAAAACACACACGAGTAGTTCTAGTAATGAGGGGAAAAAAACAATAGATTCTCACACTGGTAGGCCAGGTATGTTTACAATAATTGTGTGTAATTATGATTCTCGAACTGATTGGCTAGGTAATGAATGTAATTGGTTGATTTTCACCACCTTAGATCTTTGTGTTACAATACTTTGCTGGCATTGGAAGACAAAATAGTTACTGTGAATCCTTGTCTTAAAGATTCCAATGAAATAATCACTGCTACAAACTTTTGCATTTTTCAATTACTCATGAAAATAAAGCCAATATGTTACTGCTGAATACTGTATTTGCTTTTTTAGTTCTTATATGCCAAAATATGCATTTATTTCTAAATTATTGAAATTCTAACCATAAACACACCCCTGTCATTTACCCTATGTATGTGATACTAATAGAGCAAATACGGTAGTTATCAAATATTTTATTGTCACTAATAGAGATATGTTATTGATTTGTAATATTGGTATTATATTTATCATTCATAATTAATTTTTTATTTGAGCAGAAAGTAGATCAAGTTTGATGACAGCGTCTATTGCATCTGAAAGTACCGTAGCTGGGCTAATGAGTAAAGATACAACATCTGTGTCTGATATGGCTACTGTTATAGATGAAGCAATACTTAAGGTAATTAAACTTCAAATTATTATTATACAAATACATTATTAAGTCCAATATTATGTATCTTTCACTGTGTTGCCATAAGTTTCGCCATGGCCGAGGTATCTGCATGATACCATATTAGGAAATGTGAATTCCAAATATGGACTGATTAGCCAGTATTTCCATGATGGCTGATTTTCCAATGATTGACTGTTACTATCAGCATCAACAAACATCACAGACTTTCAAAAACACTTTGAGTGCCATAATTTTTCCTGCCCAAAATTTGTAAGTATTTTCCATAACCTTTTTGACCATTATGAATATAATTTTCTAATAGCTGCATGTCTTGATCGCAATTTTGAAAAAAAATATAACATTACCGGTATATTCTGTAAATGGAGATGAAAGTTGATTTTGGCACTTAAAAGATTAAAAAAGAGAAATTTTTAATTTTAGTCAATAAAAAACAAGGAAATCGTTGTAAGAATAAATAACCTTCTACTTGCATTTTTTGGCAAAATTGTGGGAAAAAAACAGAAACTTACCAGGCATATATAATTCTGTACTGGTTATTCTTCTAGGCAGGCTTACAGAACTAACAATAATTTGTATCACCTAAAATTATATATTTTTTTTTTTCTATTTAAGTCTGATGAGTTGAAACAGGATTTGTTTATAATGGAAAGAGTTGTGACTCATAACATTTACCAACCTAAGCAAGCAGCATTTAGGGATCTACCAATTTTAATAGGTAAGTTTCATACATATGTGTTGAGCGTAATATTAACATTGCCAGAAGCCTTTACCTCAAAGGATTACCATTCTTCAGTAATCTGTAAAAGACTTTTCCTGGATTGAATTTATATTGCAAAGATTGGAGTCTTGTCACCGCTTTCAAATATGTTGTGTACCGGTACACTTTGGTCGTACATTGTACAATATAATTGTTAATGCTGGCATATGAGGTTTACAAGTAGTGTCTATACTAAGATTAATTGATGTACTTTTTTACCCAAACTCTGTCTGGTCATCATTGTTTTGATTTTTTTTTTCTGCAGATATTGACAAAGAAGTTGGTGAGGATGAAGGCACAGGACCTGTCAGTATAGCTCAGCTTGGTCCTAATATTGATAGACTTTGGGCATATTCATGTAGTATTACTAAAAGTCGCAATGTTAGCTGTATGTCTTGGAATAAAATTAACCAAGTAAGTATATATGTGTACAGTAGATATGATCTGATAATTCAGTACCATGATATTGTGAGATTGGTTTATCTTACAATATCATCTCTGTACACACAAATTTAACTCACTGTTTCACAGCCATCAACACCCAGCAAAAAGAATAATGATTTTGAGGTTATGAGATATGCATAACAAATAGGTATCATATCAACATTAATTTTAAAAAACGATTTAACATCAACAAATAGTAATATGATTTCATATTATAACTGTTGTAATTATTTTGTGCCTTCAATTTGTTATGCATCATGTTTTCAAAGATGATTTGTTTGTGTATTATGTATTCTGTGTTATGTTGTAATCTTCCATACTGTATAATAAATATCATTACATATGACCTGTCTTCTCGCTAGTATTTTGACTCCTGTTGAAAGAAATACTCATTCCCTGTGGCCATTTTGAATATTATATTAATATATTGCATATTAATGAGCTCATGAATATCCATACCGTCCAGCACTCTCTGTCTGATGGGGAGAACCCTGGGTATGAATCAGAAATGAGAATATAGAGGTACAATTTCCAGAAAGTGATAGATGTATTATTTCTAGAAGCACTCAAATATCTTGACTTAATAAGCTGAAAGCTCTTTAGTATGAAATCAGGCCTTTAGACCACCATGTGACACACTGAGAATTTTGTTGTCTGTAGATGACTATAATTTATATAAACATGTGTCAAACATTACTAAAAAGTATCTTTACAGACATAACTCATGTTGTCGGACGAGCAACTTTATTTTAATATTTGACTGTTTTTACTGTTTAAAGGTGTATTGCTGAACAAAAATGGGCTAGAAACCTGTTGATTCCAGTGTCCTGGGTCATCATTATTTAGAGTCTTTTCTTTCGGTACCAGGTCAAGACTTAATAGTATAGCTCCAGGCACTGTAATAGTTTTCTTGCATCACATTTAACTCCCATAGGACCCACTCTTCAATTGGAACCTATGAATGTCTTGTCTGAAAACGTTTTGTTTAAATTTGGTCCAAAGGTTTGATATAACACATGGAGACATGGATTTTTGAATTTCAAGAAATTTGGTCTGGGCCAATTTCATTCAAAGTTCTGGTGACACATCACACTGAGACGCACATTATTATGGTTCACAGGTGGATTCAAAATGGCCGACTGAATGCTAGTCTTAGTTAGTAATCAATATTCAATTTTATAGTATGTCTTATTTTCTACTTTCATTTTTTACAGGATTTGCTTGCTGTTGGATATGGACAATTTGGTTTTACAGAACAGAAGGGTGGTCTTGCATGTTGTTGGTCTTTGAAAAATCCTGAGGTAAGGTTATAATTTGAAAAAAACTTGTGCCAGTTGAAATTAAATGTGTAGTATTGGTCAATAATGATAAAGTAAGAAAAACTGTTGCACAAAGAGACAAACAAAGAAATTATTTTAATAAAAATCAAACTTGACTAGTTATGTTAAATAACTTATTTGTAAAACCTAAGTTTGACTGCTGCAAATCTGTGTGGGGTGATCATCCCACCTACTGCATAACCAGTTTACAAAAATAATCAAATTTAAGTAACGAGAGTATGAGTACGAGAGAACCACAAAACTTGTTTTTTTACCCTGTTTTTGTTCCCTGTTCTCTTAATCTATGTAACCATAATATTTGGACATAATCAACGGAAGATAATGGAATACTATTTGAGGGGCAAATTAAAGTCTTTTGGCTCTCCCACTCTCAACGTGATCTTGACAGCCATTTGCATTGATGATTTACTGTGGCGCCCTGCTAACAGCGGCAAAAGTATGCTTTCATAGACAATCATTTAATGTTGTCTTTTTAATCATATTAAAAGTAACCCAAAACAGTATGCCTTATCATTGTAAGTTGCATTTTAGTCGGCGGGTACTTACCTGGATTTTGGATGACAGTGCTCTGCAGCCAATTAAAAACAAGCCAAAAAGATTGACGTTGAGGTTTTTTTACCCAAAAAATTGACACAAATTTTCAGCTTGACAGGATCAACTTGTCAGTGAAAATGGTAGTCAAACTAGCAGCAATGTATACTTTTATAATAAATGTCTCATTATATATATTCTATTGTTCTATTATTAGTATCCTGAGCGGGTATATCATACTGAAGCTGGTGTAACTGCCATGGATTTCTCTGCCACAAATCCGAATCTTTTAGCTGTAAGTTAGATCATTTGATTTTGCTGTAATTTATTGTCTGATATAACGTCAAATGAAGAATTGATTTAACATGGTATTGATAACTTTTATGTTAGCATTTCACATCATTTTCATATCTGATTTTTGTCAAATATTCTTCTAATAATGTCTGCTGCTTGTATTCATTTATATATTTAGCATATATGAGTATAAACTATTATTATATATCTCTCACCGTAACGCCATAAGTTACAGCGTGCCGTAATGTTGCGGTATTGCACTGGGTATTTTCATCCTACCATATTAGGAAACGTGAATTCCAAATATGGAACGATTACGCACATAAGCGTCCTCTAATAATAAGAAACAAACATGCCTGCCCCCAGGGCAGGGTTTCTCTGAACCCACACAAAGAAGTTTGCTAAATCTATTCTAAACTTTTCGGATTTTGGCATTCCCATGATGTATCCATGGGAGGAAAATATATA